GACAATTGCATGGTTTAAATACATTACATACATTTCTACAGTGCATTAGAACAATACATTTTGGATCAGTCAGAGATGCAGCCTGGCCAGGGAGCTGGGGTCTCACTTGTGTCCACCCTGTGCTTGTGCAGCCAGCACTGAGCCGCCTTCCCTCCCAGGCTCACACAGCAGAACCCCAGCCCACCTTCATTCCCCTCCTCACCCCTCAATGATGGGCTCATGGGACAGCAAGACCCAACACTGGCTTCTCCCAACAGCAGGAGAAACTGCAGCTCAAGGCAAGCAGATGCAGGCAGCAGCCCTGGTACCATTTTAAACAAGCTCAGCAGCTTTGGGGAGAAGGGAGCTCACCACCTCACCCACCCACAGCAGGCCCACAAGATTGTCAGCACTGGGGGCACCCAGGAGCCCATGCTGGTCCCACCCCTATGCTCCCATCACACAGCAGAAGAGCCCCTCTTGGCCCTTCCCCAGCAGCCCCCTACCCCTCAAGGGAGACCCAGGCACAGGTGAGGCTGACACCATGCTGGCTGCACAGCAGCCAAGGAGATGCTGGGAGCAGGGGTAAAAGCCAAGCGAGAGCAGCTGTGGAGACCGGGCAGGAGGGGTGGGCCTGGGGCAGCACAGGGGGGGGAGGACACTTGCACCCAACCCTTGGCCCTCTCCAGCTAGTGGGGGAAACACTAAGCTACAGCCTCTCCTGGAGCTGCCTGGTCTTCACAAAGACAAGCCAGCACCTCTTCCCCTTAGTGTCTAACTGCACCCAAGCCAGCCCTCTGAGTTGTCCCTCACACGTCCCCTCCTCAAGCCCTCAGCCAGAGAACAGCCGTTCATTGCGGTCCCCGCTGCACCAGTGGGCAGCAGGAACTCCCCCTGAGGAAAGCAGCGTGCACAGGGTTGGGGTGGAGGAGGGAGAGTGGAGAAGTACAGCACACCCTCAGGGAAAGGGATGGGGGGGGATAACCCACTACAGGCCTTCCCAGCCCAGGGCATAAGAAAAGGGCCAGTGGCTGGTGTAAAGGGCTGGACGGATCCTGGCCCGGGCAGCCTGCTCATCCCAGCCCCAAGCAGGGGTGCTCAGAACCGCATGCAGACCAAGGAGGGGAGGCAGGGGCAGGCTCTCAGCCACACCATGGCTCCCAGCAGATTCCCATATCTCCCCCTGGGCTCTGCCCCAGGCAGGGCACTGAGCTCCAACAGAGCTGGGAAGGGACCATGCCCAACCTGCCTGGCTCCTCCAGTTCAGCTGCAGGTTCCTCTAGCCGCACCTGCTCGCTCTACCCAGAAGGTAGAATCCTGGCCACAGGAGCCAGCAGTGGCCCAGCTCCTCTCGCAGTGCTAGTCCGAGGTGGCCAAGCCCTGCCCACAGCTTCCACAGCTACCACCATGAGAAGAAAGGCTTCCGGCTTTGGAAGCTCTGCGTGTAGGACTCGCTGGCAGTGCGCTGGTGGGAACGTGCCGTTTCCACAATCACAGGTGGCATCTGAACCAGGTGCAGGGGACTCTTTCCATCTTTCAGCGCCTGAGTCAGGTTCAGGATCTGTATGGCACAAGAGTAACACCTGAGCTGACCCACCAGAGCAATGGAGAGCTGCCACCCCAGCACTCTTGCTGCCATGCAGGCAGGACGAGGCTCTGTGCCTCACCTTTCTGCCTTCCCTGCACACAGCTTACCTGGCCTCTCATGACAGCAATCTGCTTGTGAAACTGTCCCCTGTCAAAGCCAGGGTCTTTCTGCAAGAGAAAGAGGAGAAAACACAGTGAGATCCACCCTCTGCCCCACACCGTGCAAGAGATGCCTGTTGCCCAAGGAAACTTCTCTCCTGTCCCATGGGTTTCCTGCTTCTCCCCACACTGAATCTTCAGCTCCTGGGAGAGGGACAACCCTGCTACACCTCAGCCCAGAAACACTGTCAGGAACTTGGCTACCTTTCTGTCCCCAGCTGCCTTGACAGGGAGCTCCTCAACACCACCCTTGCTTTTCTTCCTCCAAGCCTCACCCATCCTCACTCACTCCCCTCAGCTCACCTTGAAGAGCTCATACAAATCTTCTTCCAGGTCCTTGACAAAGTTGGGGTCTGAAATCTTGGGAAGAATTAGGTCCTTGATCTCCTGTGAAAAGGGGATTTTGGCCTGGGGTAGCCATGCCCAGTAGAAGGGATCTGTGGGAGGAAGCAGGAGACATTAGAGCTGGGTAAGAGAAACAATGGTGCCACAGGCCACTAGGTGCAGCATCACCTGCATCTGGGTCCAGCAGCCGCTTCCTACAGCCCCTGCTGGGACTCAGCTGCTTGCGAACCCAGGTTTGCAGAGGGACAGCCCCAGCCCTCTCCTCTCCAGCCCTTGAGGGGGACACCCAAGCACAGAGTTGTAGGGCTCGCCAGAGTGTCCTGGCACAGCCTGAGGGACTCACATGCTCTCCAGGAGTCCGGGTGTTTCAAGGGAAAGGCCAAACCATTGTCTATAGCAGCCAGCTTGATGATGGGTTCCTTCACCATCACCCAGTCGCTGTCCTGGAAGAAAGCAGAGTATGTCACAAGGAGGTCTACCCCCAAAGCAGGAATACTCCCTCTCCCACCCTCTGCAACCCCACTGCCAGGATCTTTGCCCTGCAGCAGCATCCCGCCTACAGCACAGCCTCTTTCCCACAAGGAAACATTATCTGCTTCAGCTGGGAAGGAGACAAAGCTGCACCCCCGACCCCAGGCCTCACTCCAAAGATGCACAGGTCCAGCAACACCAGCTTCCCCTCCAGAGCCCAGCAGCATCCTCACAAAGTCCCAGTAGGCCACAAATCGCCAACACAGAGGGCGATGAAAGACCCAGGAGACAATACCAGGCCTCCACACACTCAGAAACCCAAATCAGCTGTGAAATCCCCAGTCTGCCTGCCAAGCAGGTGGCTTCCAGGGACAAAGCCACCCACAGAGCCCTTGCCCAGGAAATGCCGCTCACCCGCACGCCCGCGCTGTCCAGGGGACAGTCATACTTGATGAGCCAGTTGTCATTGCCCCGATCTGCAGGGAGATAAAACCAGCTGTGTCAGTGCCAGGGCCAGCCCGCACCACACCAGGCAGAAGACTACTCACTCCTCCACAAGTGAGACAGACCAGTTTTTGGCTCAAACTCTAGCCCAGAACCCTTGAGCTTGCTGCAGGCTTGGGAAGCTACATCAGCCCCAACACTTCCAGCCACATTAACCCCCAAACCACTAGCCCTGGAAAGGTCCACACATGCCCAGCTCACAAGAGAAAGGTCAGACTGCAAGCCCTGGAGTGCTACCTTGATCCCTTCCAGCCTGGCAGGAACTCAGGAGTCCAGAATGAGATGGGATATAAGGGCATAATTAGATACTGGATCTCCAGATGTTCCTGGATCCTCTCAGCTGGCAAACTTTAACCCAGAGGCAGCTGCCACTTGGCAGCAACCAAGTGGTGTTGAGAGGAGTTTTGGGTGCTGGGAAGAGATGCCAAAGTCATACCCCCCACCCCTCTCTCCAGCTGGCAGGATGTGAAGGAGCAGGCAGCCAGCTCTACCTGTGTTCCTGATGATGTAGTCCAGCACCACCAGCCGCTCAAACTGCAGCAGCAGCTGCCGGTTGGTGTTCTCCGGAAGTGGCTCAGCTTCAAAACGCCGCAGCCAGTAGTCAGCATCCTTGTAGCCTTCTACAAAGAGCTGGAAGGAGCCAACCTGAAGCAAGGAGAGGCTGGGTTACAGGAGGCCGCAGAGGATGGAGAAGTGGCAGCAGGCAGGTGTGGAGGCCAGCAGCCCTACCTTGGGCGGGAGACCGATGCGGTTGAAGCGCTGGCCGACTTTCGGCACCTTCTCCAGGGCCAGCCTCTTTCCTCGGGACTTCACCCTGTCAATGGCACTGTAGTTAAAGGTCTCACTGGCCAGATACACCACCTGGGGGGACAGGAGTGCAGATGTCAGCAGGGGCACCTGGCAATTGTCATAAGACTGGCTGATAAAACCAAAACACAGCATTTCCCATGGCTCTGCCCAGCACAAGGATCCCCACAGCTTGAGCAGGAGCAGTCCCGGTCCAGAGCTCTCAACACATCTCCAAGGTCAACAGTACCACCAGACAAGGTACAAGCAGAGCTGTGCAGAAACACACAAAAGCCTCCCCAGGATGAGATCCCAGCAGCCGTCCCCTCACCTTCGTGCGGGGAACAATGTTGAGTTCCAGTTTCTGGTCTACCAGGCTGGCACCTGCCTCTGACAGGTAGCCCTGGTTGAGTACAAGGCAGTCTCTCCCAAAGCAGCATGGGCAGCACAGCTTCTGCAGCCACTTGGTCCACTTGGGGTTCAGCTGCCCATATGGCTCCTCATTCTTGGGTTTGAAGACACCAATGATTTTCTGTAGGCAGGAGAGAAGAGGGCTGACTCAAGGCAGTTGGCAGAGCAGGGACACCCCCTGCCGAGGTAACCTGTGGTGGGGACACTCAAGAACAAGCTTAGAACAGCCCTTCACTGGGCAGTAACCAGCCACTGGGACCAGAAAGATCCCACAGCTCCTGGGAAAGAGGGAGGCAGGGGCTGGGAAGGACCCTTCCCCAGCCAGTGCCCTAACACACCAGAGCAGGGTGCTGCCCAAAGACCTTCATACCTAGCTCACGCACCTGGAAATAACCCTCCTTGTCCCTAAAGACACCAGTGATAATACTGTCCCCAGGTAAACATCCCAGTGACCTTTGGATGGCTAGGGAGAGCTACTGCTCACCGCTGCTTATTATGTCCACAGAAGAGAAGGAGGGGGATAGTGATCCCTGCCCTGGCTCCAAAATCCATTGAACGGAGCTGATCCCAAACTGACCAGAGAAAACGGGACCAGAACAGCCAAGCAGCTGGACAACTCCTGAGAAACTCATAGCTCTGTGCTGAGGGCCCAGCTAGAGAGAGCAAAGGGGCTGGCTCTCTGGGTACACTGGGCAGCTCCAAATTGGCCACCAGCTGGTGCCAGCAGCACCCTCAGCCCTTCAATCCAGCCTCGCACACATCGACCCAACAGCAAGGACAGCAGTAGAGGTACCCACCACTGCAGAGGGCACAGAAGCCTTGTGCTAGGCACTATGCTGCAAGGAGGAGCGAGGCTACCTGCTCCTGCAGGCCCGGTGTCCCTGGAGGGCTGCGCAGCAGCTCTGGGCTGGCAGCCCCTGCTCCAGGGTGACTCAGCAGCACACGTGGCCAGCCCTCCTCCCCATGGTTACTGTCAGCCCCAGCCTGAGTGGGTGTCACTTCCCCAAGCCAAGCTCCTGTCACAATGTGGTAGTGGGACATGAGCTTCAGGACCTCAGTGAGGGATCTCAGTGCAATCCCAGTCTGCCAGGGGCCAGAAGCCAGCCCAGGGCATGCAAAAGCAAGGTTTTGCCCACCAGAAAGAGGGAGAAGAAGGTTTGAGGGAATAGGATCACTTCAGCTATCCTCAGATCACACCAAGGAGCCACTTCCCCTGAGCAGGCAGGAACGAAATCTCATCAGCCCCACGTAAAGGCACACAACTGCCAACATATCCTTTGATGAGCCTGCAAGTGGCCTTGTCAGGAGCTGTGGCAGCATGGAGCCCTGTGCTCCATGGAGCCAGTCCAGTAAAGCAAGGCCCAGCCAGGCAGGAACAGTACAGGAGCAGAGGCCTGGCAGCACAGCGTCCCCTTCCAGACAGACCAGTACTGAAAGCAGCACTGGCAGGGTAAACAGGTCTGCCTGGTGCAGCAGCAAGGCAAAGGGAGCCTGGACAGCCCAGAGAGACAGCTCGCAGCTCGGGTAACCACAGCTACCGGGGCTGAGGAAGCACATCCCGGCTGGGACAGTTCGGGCCCTGGCAGCCCAGAGCAAAGCAGACACAAGAGAAAAGTTTTCCCCCCAGTGCCCTCACCCCCTGTCCACAGCAGTGTCACACACCCACATCAGCAGCAGAGAGGTTCTGGTGACCCTGGGCAGCAAGCCACAGAAACCAGACACACAGCACATCTGCTGACAGCAGGGTCATCCAGGGGACCTGCCAGGTGACATGGCCAGGAGCACAGAGACTTTGGCTCCTTGCACACATCCTCCACCAGCCCCTGTCAGGCTTGGGTCTCCTACAGTCAGGCAGTCTCTGCCCTACCACCCCCGTGCAGCTCATCCAGTCACTCATCCCAGTGACACCACATCTCGTATTGGGCAAGGGGAGGGAGCACAGCTGGCCAGCTCAGCTGGGATTTGCCTGCCACAGGTCTCAGGAGCCCAGCTCTACCTGAGGCAGGAAAACTAGGGCACATCAAAGACCAGCGAGCCCAGGAAGCATCCCGACACACACGTGGCAAGGGAGTCACGGGAAGCAGCAACAACTCAAGTAATTGGGCTGGGCGCTGCAGGTCACAAGACAAGCCACGCTGTGCTGCACACGCATCCAGTCAGCGGCATGGAGACTGCTGCCACACAGCTGACCAGATCTACAGGGGACCAGTCCTCTACATGGAGGACTTTGCCCAGATTACATCAACCACACAGTCAGAGAAAAGACACCTCACTCCAGTCTCACAGGCCAAAAACCAGCTCAGCTCTCTGAGTCGCAGCCCTAGGGCTGGCAGAACCATGGTCAGGCGATGCTAACCACAGTCAGAAGATACTGATGCACAGAACTGAAGAAGAGGGTGACCCTTCCCCTTTGGGCACAAGGGCCACAAAAGAGGGTGGATCAGCACTCAGACAAAGCCGCTCCCCGCTCTTGCCGTTGGTCCCACTGACATCTCCCCGGGGAAGCCCGGGGCGGCTCCAACCACTCTTACCAGCCCTCCAAGGCTGGTCACCCCTGGGCGAATGTCAGGAGTCCCCCCGGTAGCGCCCTCCCCCCGGTCAGAAGCGGCTTGCCACCCTCGGAGCGGGCACACGGGGCCAGGGCTGGCTCACC